CAAGGATGGGACAATGATTTAAAAAAAAAAAAAAAAAAGTTTGGATCTATTAATTTGCTATCGATAAAAAAATCGCAATAATCTTTGTCCTTTGTTACTGTTGATATGAAACAAAGTCTCAATTTTCAAATTACGTCCATTTTCTTTAGAAATTCAAAAACATAAATAGCGTTTTGGCGCTGTGGCTCAAGAGAAGCAGCGCTGATCTCTCTTCCGGCTTAATAATACCAGTCACAGCGCCAAATAAACATGAATGAGCATCTGAAAGTGTGTTAAAGATAGAGTACAACTTATCAAAATCTGTATCATGTCACATTGATTCACTCAATCAGCGTTTCAACCGTGGAAAGACGTCAGTTAAACAGCTTGTAATCAATGTATCGTCATATTTACCTCAGAAAACCCACATAAACTCGTTAGTCAGCTAGAAAAAAATAACTCTAGAGAGGAGCATTTTGTTAAATATATACACCATATTACATATGCATTATAATCTTAATGTTCTTCAATATTTAGTGCATATTTGAATAAATCTGGCAAGTTTTTATGACAGCCACCATTTAAATGTTTATATTTCATATAATCTTGTTATTATAAAAATAAATAAAAGTGTAATTTAAGTGTTTGTATAGCTACAAAACAGTTCATTATTACCTTCATATTAGACTAATGAAGCCTATAGGCTACAACTAGACTCCCATAGTTTACAGCATTAGTTAAGAGATTTGATTCCCTTGAGAAAAATGGCCATTTATTGTAAGTGATATCCAAAATAATCGATATTGAATTGAATCGAATCGAATCATAATCGAAATCGAATCGAATTGCAAGCTTGTGAATCGAAATCGAATCGAGTTGTGAAATTTGTCTCAATACCCAGCCCTAATAGAAATGTAGTAGGGATGCACCGATATGACCGATAACCGATAATTCTTTATATGTGGAAAGCCGATAACCGATATATCGGCCGATAAATCTCAAAAATCCAATTTTTAAGAGCCTGATTATAAAAAAGTCTCATCATTAAAGGCCAAGATATAAACACAATTATGATGTCCTTATTTTAATGTTGTGTAGCCGATATGACAGACTTTTGCACTTTAACTGGATTTTACTTTTTAAAGTGATTTAAATCGTATTTCAAGCAATGTTGAACAGTGCAGCTGAAGGAAATAATACATTATTTATCGGCTTTTAGATATCGGCTAAATGTTCTTGTTGGGCCGATAACCATCACATTAAAAATGAGCATATATCGGCCGATACCGATAATGTGGCCGATATATCGTGCATCCCTAAAATGTAGTGTTTTAATCAATTGCAAGTGTCAGCTGTGGCCCAATCCTCCTCCTTAAGGTGTGTATGGCTCCTTTATGAAGTTCATTGACGTTCTTGAGGCTTTGTTCAGGAATTATAGACCCTGTTATTGTCATCCAAATACCACACAGTTTAAAATATTTTGATAAATATTGACCTCGGGACTCCATTGAAATTGTACGACACTAGGATTAGTTTGCAAAAACGTTTTTTTTTTTTATGACAAATATTTTTTTAAGAAATGTACAATTACGAACACTGCATTATATAAAGCAATTTGTGTGCATGAAAAACGTTATTTTTGAAATTTGACCTTTGCATGACAAAGGCAAGATTAGAAAAAAAAGACCTTGGAAAATATAATTGAAAGCCAATTTGAAAGGAATTATTAGGATTTGTGCATATCTTCGAGCTGGTCAAAGCCGGATCAAGCTGAAATGGCAGCAAATTGTGTTTTCTGTCACGTTAGCTTCTGTTAGCACTGGTGTATGGGGGTGGCACGCTATTGTCAAAAGTGACATTTCATTTCTACACTGCCATGACGTCAGATTCACACATCTGTTCTGGATGAGTGTGTGTGTAGGACACTGCATAACACAAGCAGTTTGTACATTTGTCTCTAACTCATCTTCCGTCAAAGCAATTCTCGCTGTTCTCTTGCTTTTGTGAGGTATTGCCAAAGACAGTTCTGGCCCTGGCACAATAAATGTGTGTCAAAGCACATTAAGGAGATTTCCGAGTCTATTTTCAAGCACTCAACGCAGACACGGCGACTGATTCAGCGATGTCTTCTGCCTCGCGTCAGACCACCCTCGACGTGGCTAACTATTATTAGAGCATCGCATCGGGTGTTTGCTCAGCAAGAGTCGGTCCATCTATTCTAGTGCGACCTCAACTCAAGGCCAGGCTGCGCGGCCCAGCTCTTATTTGTTATTATTGCACGTTTGTGCTTCGGTTAAGACCAAGTCTCCATGGCGGGGCATGAACAAGGTTCCCATTGAGAGAGACACTGGGGTCGCACCGCGCCGGGATGTGGCTTGCGCGAGTCCTGAGACTCTCTGGCCTGTGTGTGTGAAAATAGCCTTTGCGGTCGGGTGTAAAATAACACCGCCAGATTGCTATAAAAGCGTTCATATATCAAAACCCACGGCACAATTCAAGCCAGCCGTTCTGAATCTCCTGTGAGAAGGGGGCAAGAAGATAAATATTATTCAGAAACCCCAAATGACATCATCAATAGCCACAACCTCATCAGAAACGGTTATAGCTTCCTCACAACCTTGGGTTTTGGGAAATTGCACATGTGGTGTTTCTGTGTGGAGCAGCATCTGAAACCATTGGTCCCAGCGCTCTATAAACCTCCACGTTTGGCTATTGTTGTGTTGGAAACGTGAGACGCACATGGCACACGAGCGTCCCGCGAAACAGGCCTGTTGTCTGAAGCTCGCCTTTCATTACATTTGCAAAAATTGACAAGCTGGTCTCCAGGCATGTAAAATGTGCTCCATCATACGCTTTGATTTTCCCCCTGAAAATCTTTAATTACAGGCGTAGGAAAATAATGGATCTGCAGTAAAGCCATACGGCGAGATTTATCCTCAACTAGTTATTTGTGGCAAAGTGAGGGCAGCTGGTTTCAATAACATGCAGCGACCGAAGGCAAAGCCAGAAATACTCGCGTTGCCAAGAAAATGTGGAGGGGGGAAAAAACCCAAAAAGGCATTTCAGTCGTTTCTGCGAGGAAGCTTTATTCTGAACTAGAATAAACATCTCGTTCTGTTAGCAAACTCTAGGTGGCGCTGGTCCTCGATGCAGCATGGAGCAGCTGTGAGTGATTCGGTGACATCGTTATTCCAAATCGCAAAACGTCTCGATTCACAAGCGTCGTTTATCGGTTCCTAAACGAAGCATGAATCGCGTTTGGTATTTAAATAAATCACGTTTGGAAGTATAATTAAGCAAACTAGCAGGAACGTGTGCTTTTGCGTTTCATTTGAATAGGACTGAAAAAAATGAAGTTTTGCTTAAGTCACAATTACTATTCAACATCCATGAATGAACCTAAATACATTCATTCATTGTGTATGTGTTGAATCCAGTAGAAATATCTCTTTACAGTAACTGATACTATAGAAGGCAATGAGATAGATCGACATTTATGTACAAATGGAGCATATAAGCTGAGTCTATGTAAATAAATATGTGTTAAGTTATTGTGTGTGCGTTAAGTACACCTTTATATAGAAGTCTAGGAGATCGATCATGCATGAGAAACAATATCAGTAATATGCACTCTAAAACATTCTGGGTTGTTTTAACCCAGTTTTGGGTCAAATATGGACAAACCCAGCCATTGGGTTACATTTTTAAATTACATTTTTAACTAGAGCCCGACCGATAAAGGATTTTGAAGGCCGATACCGATACAAATATTTTTGGGTTTTAAACCCGATATTCCGATATATCGGCCGATATATTTTATTTATTTATTTTTTTAAACTGGACATGATAGCCACAAGTTTTATCATGCTTATTTGAGTTAAGAGAACTGATGGGGATGTTCTTTTAATTGTTATTCAAGCAATGTATGTATCGTGACCAACTCAACGAGTGTTGCCAACAGCAACGGTGTAGAGTGGACAAATTATACAACTCCAACACTCATGACATGGTTCAAGCTTGTTTCGTCTGTTTTAATTTTATTGTTGAAATATTAATTTATCAGCCATTATAACTGCCGATACCGATAGTTTGGAAAATGCCTAATATCGGTCTGCCGATATATCGGTCTGACTCTATTTTTAACCCAATGTTTGAGTTTGTCCATATTTGACCCAAAATTGGGTTAAAACAACCCAGCATTTTTGGGTTTATAGTAACTAACATTAACAAAGATTCAAAAATACTGTAACAAATCTATTGATTCAAGATAATTTTCTGATAATTAGAAGAATATCAGTAACCAGACCGTTTCTGGTCTCATTGACTTCCATAGTAGGAAAAATATATACTATGGAAGTCAATGAGACCAGAAACCGTCTGGTTACTGATGCACTTCTTATTATCAGAAAATCGGCTGAATGGGTTCAAAAACGGTAAAACTCGACTGTTTAACTCTGGGGGAGTGGTAAAATGAGCCTATTTCCGAAAAAAAAAAGTGGAGTATCCCTTTAAATGCAAGACCTTACAATGAATTGTAACCAAATGTACTGAAGGTTATAGTATGCATGTACTGTAGGACTTCAGATGAATCCTGGTGATGGTTTTGTGCAAGGCGCTTCACTCCTGAAAGTCTCCAAGGCCCTTAGTGTGGTCAAACTTTGCTGCATTTTACCAAAACATTACATTTCATTATCCTTCTCATCTGCTGCCTTTTCACTCGTGATCCACATTGCATGGGGTTTGTGCATCAGATTAATGAAACTAGATTATAAATGTCATTTAGGGTGGACTTCAGTCTATAAAAGTGCATGCACGTAAAGGGCAGACAAGATAGCAGGGCATTGAATGAAAGACAGCGGTTCATTGTCACAGTGTTTGACACTTGAGCAGATAAAGTGGTAAAGATTGTCCATCAGGAAGAGCATCTCTAAACGTAGCTCTTGTGCTCAGTTAGCAGAGGAGGTTATTGTTGTATAGCTGGAGTTCAGCCCATCTAAATGTCAATCGTCTCTGTGTTGTAGAGGGTTTCTGCTCGCCGGAGTGGGATGGCATCGTGTGCTGGCCCGAGGGACTTCCTGGGAGGATGGTGTCCACCGCCTGCCCAGACTACATATATGACTTCAACCACAAAGGTGAGCCTGCAGCCACTGGTGCGCTTCGTTTCGAAGTCACACTTGTTATCCTCCCGGTCAAAAGTGACCGGACACCTAAAAATTAAATTTCCTCCATCCCAGTAAAACCAATGCAATTTATTTTTGTTCTATAATATTTATTCTTTGTAATTTAGTATTTTGAGACAATTTGATTGTATTTATTAATATTTATGCAATATTTATGGTCTATTTTTGCCATGAAAAAATATATATATTTTTCTATTTATATATTATTTTTTTCAAAAAAAATATTAATTCAGTATTTTTGTTTAATATAGAGTCTAGGCCTTCAGAAAAAATTTTTTTTGAAGAAAATTAGCACCATCTGGTTACAGTATAGAGAAAAAGCGTAGAATCATGGTGTAACCACTAGATGACATGTACAGCTCTCTATGGAGATGCATGTGAATTCCCCAGCTGTTTATGAACACATTTTTTTTTTTTTTGGTGGTGGTGGTGGATTTGAATAAATAGTTGAAACAATCTCAAAAATGATTTTTAATTAAAAAAATGTAAAAAAATAAAAAATAAAAATAATAATTTCCCATTCATTTCCTATGGGTCGGTCATTTTTGACCGAAGAGCACAAGTGTGACTATTTTTTTTACAATCCTCAAATTTTTCTCAATTTTTTTTTGTATTCACATACATAATGCCATAAAAGTCACCAAGTTTTGTAACATTCTGATAAAGCTGTGATTTTTAGAAATTCAAAACAGAAAATTTTTCGGTCAGAAATGACCGAAGAGCACCTGAGGGTTAACTGACACATGTCCGAACCACACCACACTCCCATGACAAAACCAGATGACCTGCAGAACCTGTGCTATTCTCCTTTTACAGAACGCTCGCACATTCACTCACGTCTTCCAGACAAACACTCCCAAATATGTGCTTTAATTTTATATTCGAGGCGCATTTTCATAAACAATCTCATAAATTCATAACTCAAATATATTGTGTGCCTGGACGTTGAGCTGAGAACTAGCAGCGTGAATCCTAACCTCAGTACATTTACATTTATTATTTTAGCAGAAAGTGTCAAAGTGCCAAATAAATAAGAATAACATCAGCAAACAATCCGAGGGAGAAACGCATATAAACCGTGCAGGCTGTCCTGAGTCGTGATCAGACTTCTGTCTGGTGTAGGATTTACTTTCAGACCCTTTTCACTCAGAAACTGCAATATCAAAGTAGTTGAAGTAGAAAAAAAAAGAAGTTTCTTGCAAAACATTGTACTATAATCTTTATTTTATGTAGTAAGCAACATCTACAAAGTTACAAAGCTCAAAGTTCAAAGCAAAGGGAGATATTTTCTTTAAAATAAATAGCTTTTTAAGGACTACAACCACATTCCTCTCGGTTAGTGACATCACAAAACCTACAATTTACATAAACCCCGCCCCCGGAACACGATTTATAGATTATCGTGACAGAATATGCTAATCAAGGACTAAGATTACTGCACATTCGCTCCACAAATTCATCAACTAACCATTCAGAAATGTCCTGTTGCTTCTACAAGTTATCACTACATGTGTGTGTGTGTGTGAGGTAAAAAGAACACAAGCTCTTGTAGCTCCGCCCCCTGTGCTGGGAGCTGCAGCTCATTTGCATTTAAAGGGACAGACTCAAAAACGGCGGGGTTTTGCAAACCCTCAAAAAGTGACTATTTTAACATGTTATATAATAATATCTGTGGGGTATTTCGAGCTGGAACTTCACATACACACTGTGGGACATCAGATACTTATTTTACGTCTTGTGAAAAGGGCATTATACCTCCCCTTTAACACCCTATCCTAAAAGTGAGGTTCCCTAACAGTGGAAATGAAAAGCTAGAGACAGATTTACTTGCAGTATAGTATTTACAGGAGTGCTTTAGAGATGCATTAATTACGCTAGCTAGACGGATGCACTAATTGGACATCTCGCTCAATCTGTGCACAGTTACGGTTGTTGTTGTTTTATTGTATTCCTTTAATCAATAATTGAATCCATGTTTGCACCTCTGTTTGATGCTAATAGGAGCTCTGTAGCTCTATTCTGTCAGTCTGACTGAGTAAATCAATGTGGGAATGTCCCGAAGACACGACTAGAGGATGTGTGTGTGCTGTGTCTCCAGGACATGCCTACCGGCGCTGTGACTTCAACGGGACCTGGGAACTGGCCTCGAACAACAACAAGACCTGGGCCAACTACAGCGAGTGCGCCAAGTTCCTCACCCATTACAACCAGAACCAAGAGAGGGTAAGACCTTTGACCTCACAGCCGCTGAACACAAGCATTTCAGAGATGTGGATATGAGTGATCAGTTGTGTAATGTGTGAGGTAGATCTCGGTACTCTTGACTCAAAACATGACGCTAAATCACACTGAGTGTGAGCTTTCACTTTGATTCTGTAGGTTTGTTCTGTAGATTTTAACATTCATGTTACAGTATGTAACTTTAGCTTAACTTAGTCAATGTTTTTAGTATGTGTATGTTACACATACTCATACTCATACTCATACACATACTCACACTCAAACTCATACTCATACTCATACTCACACTTATACTCATACACATACTCATACTCACACTCATACTCACACTCATACTCATACACATACACATACACATACTCATACTCACACTCATACTCACACTCATACTCATACACATACACATACTCATACACATACACATACTCACACTCAAACTCATACTCATACACATACTTACACTTATACTCATACTCATACACATACTTACACTTATACTCATACTCATACACATACTCACACTTATACTCATACACATACTCATACACATACACATACTCATACACATACTCATACACATACTCACACTCAAACTCATACTCATACTCATACACATACTCACACTCATACTCATACACATACTCACACTTATACTCATACACATACTCACACTCAAACTCATACTCATACTCATACACATACTCACACTCATACTCATACTCATACACATACTTACACTTATACTCATACTCATACACATACTTACACTTATACTCATACTCATACACATACTCACACTTATACTCATACACATACTCATACACATACACATACTCATACACATACTCATACACATACTCACACTCAAACTCATACTCATACTCATACTCATACTCATACTCATACACATACTCATACACATACTCACACTTATACTCATACACATACTCATACTCATACACATACACATACTCATACACATACTCACACTTATACTCATACACATACTCACACTCAAACTCATACTCATACACATACACATACTCATACACATACTCACACTTATACTCATACACATACTCACACTCAAACTCATACTCATACTCATACTCATACACATACTCATACACATACTCACACTTATACTCATACACATACTCATACTCATACACATACACATACTCATACACATACTCACACTCAAACTCATACTCATACTCATACACATACTCACACTTATACTCATACACATACTCATACACATACACATACTCATACACATACTCACACTTATACTCATACACATACTCACACTCAAACTCATACTCATACTCATACTCATACACATACTCACACTTATACTCATACACATACTCATACACATACTCATACTCATACTCACACTTATACTCATACACACACTCATACTCATACACATACTCACACTTATACTCATACTCATACTCACACTCAAACTCATACTCATACTCATACACATACTCATACACATACTCACACTCATACTCATACTCACACTCAAACTCATACTCATACTCATACTCACACTCAAACTCATACTCATACTCATACACATACTCATACACATACTCACACTCATACTCATACTCACACTCATACTCATACACATACTCAAACTCATACACAGGCTGTGTATTGTGTGTGAATGAAGCGCAGTCTATAATGAGGCATGTCTGCACAGAGAGGAATGCCAGTGTCTTCATCTGAATATTGAATACGCAGCATAACTTCAGCGCTGTGTGCAGGTGGTCAGTGAATTACACGCTGGTATTTGTGTTGACATAGCATGTGCAGTATTGATGCAGCTGTTTAATAAATCTGTTTGCATTTCGATTTGTTCCTCACACAAAGTTATCATGGCTTCAGAAGACGTGGGATATAGCTTGGAACAGCATGAGAGGAAATGACTTCTTTCCATATTGCTTTAAGAGTCTAACCACATTGTGTGGACACAGTTCATTAGTCATCGATGTTAACACTGAAGTCTTTTGTTTGTTTAGCTTTGTTTAGATTCATTACTCTCATCCGTGTGCTTTTCATTTTGGTGTAGACTGGTGAAAAGCTGAGCTGCAGGCAGAAATATTTACCATTTAGATGAGGAATGCACATGAACTCAACTCTCAGATGAACGAGTGTCCCAGTGCAGAAGACGAAGAGAATTTAATCAATCAATGAAGTTCAACAAAACTTGCTGAACCTCTAAGTTACAGAACATCCCAGCAATCAGGGAACGTTCTGGCGAGCTTCTCGTTTGTTTCGTATTTTAAATGTATCTACTTGTTTCGGAATGTTCAGAGAAGTAACGTTCCAATGATGAAATGGAATGTTCCCTTAACGATTCCTAAATGGTTAAAACATTGATAAAACTGGACATTTTGAACATTCAGAGAAATAACATTTCCATAACCTAATGAGAAACATGAGTCAAATGTTTCCAGGACATGTTTTTGTTCGATACTACGCTGTTACGATGTTACGCTGCGTCTCGTTCCCACTCACGGAGCCAGGATTGCGTTCACCGAAATTTTCAATTGCGTTTTTTATATTCTTCATTCGGTGGCTCTGAATTGTCAAAACACCTCTCAAAATGCTGGCTACGGATGCGAAAAACATAGAACATTTTAATCAACGTGAGGTCTTATTTTTTTTTTTACATGCAAAAATCTTGTGCAAGGACCTTAAAAGTACGGCTGTCAAACGATTAATCGCGATTAATCGCATCCAAAATAAAAGTTTGTGTTTACGTAATATATGTGGGTGCACTGTGTATAATTATTATATATATATATAAATACACACACATACTTGTATATATTTAAGAAATATTTTCATGTATATACTGTATATAGATTTATATATAATTTATATTATATATAAATATTTTATATATAAATAATATTTTTATCTTAACCCTTGTGCTGCATTAGATTTTTAACACCGTTGAGTGCATTAAGGACCAAAAATGGCCACATATTAAACATTGCCTAAAATATTCTATATTATTATTATTTTCCACTTTTACCAAGTTAAATCTTTTAACCAGCATCAGTCCTCATTATAACTACCAAAAATGTATTCAATTTCAGGATTTTAACCCTTTAATTACCAATTTTGTTTGCGAAACCATCGATTTGTATAAGAGGAAAAAACACAAAAATTCAATTATTTTCAATAAACTAAATGCAAAGAGAAAACTTTAGATTTGGATTATCACAGTCCCACTTTGCAAAAAATCCCACTTAGCGCGTTAGAGACCAAAAATGGCCACCTATTAAACATTGCCTATTGCCTAAAATAAGGTGCATTTCCACCCATAGGGAATAAATATGTAGTGACGTCATCACTATATAATGCAAATATAATGCTTTTGCTTCAAAATGAAAGGATGTTTGTGCAGAAATCATGTTTCATGTATTACTGACAGCCTCAGATTTAAACAACGTTTTAATGGGTTTCAATGGGCCATTTTTGGTCTTTATGGTGCTGAGTGTTACTATTTGATCTACACAGTGTGTGTTATACATATTTTGCAAAATGGGATCACATTTTTTACATGTATCCAAAAAGTCACAATTTTGCCAAATTTCATACCATTTCCATTAAAACAGCCAAAATGGTCAAATAAATGAAACTGCAAAAGACCAAAAATGTCCCTAATGCAGCATAAGGGTTAAATATACATGCATGTGTGTGTGTGTGTGTGTGTGTGTGTGTGTATATATATATATATATATATATATATAATAAAATAAAATGTATAAAAAATTATATTTTACACACAAAATAATTATACACAGTGCACCCACATATATTATGTAAACACAAACTTTTACTTTGGATGCGATTAATCGTTTGACAGCCCAACTTAAAAGTATATATCACATCACTATAGTTTGCTAATAATGCTGCAAAAAAATGGTTTGTATAGTAAATTTCCATTTGGCAATGCCTGTTTTTGGATAATCCTGAGAGTTAATTTGTTTACAAATGAAAAGTACTTCTCATTTTACTAAAATAAAAATCTGGATTAATGCGGAAAGCTGTAAAGTCCACTTTGTGTCGTACTGAACTTTTTAAAAAAGACTGCTTAACTCTTTCACCGCCATTGACGGACGTTTCCTTTTTTCCGCGTTTTCACTGTTATACGGTAGGGGGCGCTATTACACATGTTTTAATTTCACGATCAAAACGCATGCAAAAAAGGAGACGAAATCAGCGATAAAAGCATTGCTAATGCACATTCTTCTCAGCTTTTTGTTGCTTTTTTATGATTCTTACGCATATTCAAGTGATGATAAAAATAAATGAATTAAGCTAAAATAAAACTAAATTTTTTTAGAAGAAGAGGCTTTGTTCTTTCTTTTGATATATTGCATGTTCATGTATTCATACAACAAAATATGTCCATTCAAATTTAGTCAAAATGATCAAGAACGATCAAAAAAACACTGGCGGGGAAAGAGTTAATATCAAGCTCTTCATTGCATTGACTTGTTTGATTTTGCTCTCGCGTTTGATTATAATAAGCACTGCTTTGCAGATATATATCTACCACACAATCTCTACAAGCTGACATCTTTTACACTCTTATTTCAAGGCATTTTCATTTGTTTTAGTGCCACGAATTTACATGAATAGCTCAAAATGAGATGATAATATATGAAGTGGCTCATTAACGTAATTTAATTTAAGTTCATTTTCAATTCACACATATCTCGCTTGTTCACTCATTAGCAGGTCAGATGGATAAATGTATTCATATTCAAAACAGTTCTGCCACAGGTATAATTTGCTTTCTAGATTAGCGTTCTTCTCACGGCACTGAGATGTTACGAATCTTCAATTTTTGATTATTTGCCACTTTTGTGGAAGATATCTTCCTTTGAACTGTGACATCTATATTTTGAGGTTGTGCCGATCTGAGAGCCACTAATGAAAAATCCACCCGTGCAAATGAAAAGCCGTGGAGGCGCGCTGGGTTTGGCCATCGCCACTCATGCTAAGTGTTAACAGCTGGCAGGTCTCTGGCTCTATCTCTCTCTCTCGGTGAGTGCGGTCGCGGTGTGAAGTCTCTCCACCGACTGCAGCCTGAAGTAATCTGGCTTTTGTAAGGCCTCTGAACGGTTTTCGCGTAAGCCACCTCAGTCACGGGGTGTCACCTCGCTCTCCAAATAAACAGACATTCAAGGCTTCATCCGCTTTCATGTACTGTACACAGCAGAAGATGCAAATGTGCTTGAGCTTTGAGTTTAAGCCCAAACAGAAATCCCACACGGCTGACATGATTTCCATGTGGTGTAAATAGTAGATGCGAGGTCATAACACACTGAGTTGAGATGAAGGACCAATTAAATGGTTCCAGACTTTGAACTAGTGTACGGAAATGTTGGAGATAATCTGCCATGTAAGGATCTCGCCATTACTAACACCCCAGATAGCAAACTGACATTGAATCAACGTGGAAATATGACATCGAAACAACGTTGATCTGACATCGTTTTGCTCATCGAATTAACGTTGAACCAACGTCAGGCGCGTCATTCTTTCAAAACTAACGGAAAATCAACTTGAAATCAACGCGTTGTTTCAATGTTATGAAAGCAAACCAATTTTCGATTTTCATTTAGCTTTGAAGAATGCCGCGTCTGACGTTGGTTCAACGTTAATTCGATGAGCAAAATCAACGTTGTTTCGATGTCATGAGAGACGTCGTTTCCACGTTGATTCAATGTCAGTTTGCTATCTGGGACGTGCAAACATACTGTGAATAAGAGATGCATTCCCAGACAGCAAACTGACATTGAATCAACGTGGAAACGACGTCTCTCATGACATCGAAACAACGTTGATTTTGCTCATCGAATTAACGTTGAACCAACGTCAGACGCGGCGTTCTTCAAAGCTAAATGAAAATCGAAAATTGGTTTGCTTTCATAACGTTGAAACAACGTTGATTTCGAGTTGATTTTCCGTTAGCTTTGAAAGAATGACGTTGGTTCAACGTTAATTCGATGAGCAAAACGATGTCAGATCAACGTTGTTTCGATGTCAGTTTGCTATCTGGGTCGTTTCCGCTTACGGGAATCATTTTGATAACCGTAAATCAATGTGTGTTTGACCCTTTTGCAGTGGTGGAAAGTAACTAATTACAAATACTTTCGTTACAGTACTTGAGTAGATTTTTTCATTTTTTCTACTTTCTTGAGTATAATTAAATTGTGGTACTTTTACTCTATTCAATCACTGGCGCTCGTGTTTGAATCAGTAGCGCTAACGTTTCAATTTTTCAGTGAATGTAAGTGCGTATTCTGCTCATAATTAATTATGGCAACTACTGAAATGGGTCACACCATTGATAATACCAGAGCACTGAGCAGTTGAGGTAAATAAAAAAGCTCGCCTCATAACATGGACTCGGTTTGCAATGGACGGAGCAAGAATGTAAGTACGTACAGTTCAATTAATGGTTAAGCTCTCCCTGTTTAACAATACATTTAAACTAGATATACGAAGCAAACTTTGTACAAAGCTGAAAAAACAGTGAAATATGATCGCATGATTGATCTGTCAATCAGATGCATGTAAAAGTGTAGTTCGTTCCTATAGCAACAGTGGGCTCACAGCACATTTTCGGTTGGCTACGATGAAAAAAAGATCATTTAATTTAACATGTTAACCATTAGCCCACTTATTTTTTATTTTTTTTACTGGGAATTTTTTTTCATACGGTTTTATTGTTTTTCATACCTTTTTTATCGGACTTCTCAATTAACCTTCTTTGCTTTCAATTATGAATGATTCAAATCAAAACATTCAAATGATCGCACCTACACTTACTTTTCAAAATTAGTAATAAAAAACAACAGAGGAAGCTAGTAGTCTATATGTGGAGCACTTTTATCATGGATGGATGCCCTTTTTTTGGGCTTCAAATTTTCTCCAGTCATTCATAAAGTTTGGAAGAGCCAGGCCATTTTTTAATATAACTATGATTGTATTCGACTGAAAGCAGAAAGTCATATCTTCTAAGATGACTTGAGGCAGAGTAAATCGTGGGCTAATTTTAATTTTCGGGTGAACTATCCCTTTAAAGTCATACATCATTCTTTTGAAAATACCTGAAAGTTGGATAAACTCAGATATATTATAGCTATTATGTGTTTGTCTTCATGTTTCAGCAGTCAAAACATCACTAATTGCAAGTTATTATATCCATATAAGGCATTTCATGAAATGTGTAAGTTTAATACTTCTATGCATCAGTACTGGGCCTTCAGTATGAATGAAACAGATGACATGAGAGTTGTTTAGCGCTCCATTTCGCTATCATCTCACCATTTTGGGTAAAAATAGAAAAATACTAAAGTACTTTGTAACGCAGTTACTTGAGTAGTTTTTAAGCAAACTACTTATTTACTCTTACTTGAGTCATATTATATTTCAGTACTTCTACTTGTACTCAAGTACATTTTTACTTAAGTAGCAATACTTTTATTTAAGTACAATTTGTCAGCTCTTTCCACCACTGCCCTTTAGTCAATGATCGATTTACAGACACATTAAGAGCAATCAACGATTTGGTGATGATGAAGGTCTGTCCTTGCTGTCTTCCTCCTCAGGCATTACAACTAACACCGTTGCTGCATTACGGTCAGGTTCATACTGTTATATAGGTTTATTAGGTATTCATGGGTTTACTGAGAAAACAAATAAAGCTCTACTGAGCAAAATACACGGGTACATGAGCAATATTGTTATCTTGTGTGCATGATAGACTCACACTCTTCCGCACTCACTCTTAATGTGGTCTTGGTCCTCAGGAGGTCTTCGACAGGCTTTACCTGATCTACACGGTGGGCTACTCCATCTCTCTGGGCTCGCTGATGGTGGCGACCGTCATCCTCGGATACTTCCGGTGAGAAAAACCCTCCTAAACCCTTAACAAAAGCAATCTTGAAGGGGCTTTTCCTCATCCTGGGGGACGTGTGTGTGTGATCCTCGTATATAGTGTCTGAACAAAAGCAAGGTCTGTAAATGTGAAATATCCTGACGTGAACACCTTTCTCTCTGATCCATACAGTTCTCACTTACGATATGTCAGCATATCTGTGTGTGTAACTCAGAAAATCAAGAGATTTACGCCCATAAATCACACATTTTTCAAACAAATGCTGAGGAGTCATTTTGTCTCGATTTGTGAAGCAATTAGGTGTTGAATAAATCTACACTGAGCATTGAGTCTACATTATATGTTCGTTTAGACACATCCATCAATGTGTGCATAGTGGTTCGAAAGACTACATTTTTTAATAAGTTAAAGAGGATAAATTCTGCTTTTCTCCATGTTCATCTGTCGTAAGCTCCGGTTCTCCTCTATATCAGTGTCGGTGTTTCTGAACTCCTGAAACGCCTCCGTTGTAGTCTCGAGTTTGAACACGTCACAATATTCCTCATTATAATAATTAATGAGCACAATAAAGGGGCGGGGCCTGGTTGAGGTAGTTAGTAGTGTGTTAAACTGGTGGTTATGGAAAGGGGCGGGACTTTCCCAAACACGCTCAAATCGCTCGACCAATCACGACACACTGATCCAGCCGACCAATCAGAGCACAGTGTGCTTTCAGAAGGAGGGACAGGAAGTAAACAAAGCGTTACTGACAGACCGGGAAGAGACCTTGTATTATGTGACAACAAGACATGAGCATAACAAATGTATGCGTAAATCGTTCATTACGGAAACTGTCACGTTTGTTTATGAATGGCTTTACAAATGATCTATACAGATATACGAGGGGTTAATGCTTTTGAGCGTGTGTAAAAAGTTTAAAACTTTTAAAACATTGCAGTTTGACTTGACTAAAGCGATCGGTTTTCCGTCAAACGAATGTGTATCTAATAGTTGACCCAGTGTGTGCGCTGGCCCTTTTTCAACATGAAGACATATGAGTGCATTTATGACTTTAGCGTTCAATCGTTCCATTTTCACTACTAATTAATGCAAAGAGGTTCCCCTCGTTATTTATCCAGTGGGCTTGCTCAAATAAAGGGCCGGTGGGTGTGTGGAACGAGCCGCTGACAGCACCAGATGAGCTTGACTCGGCTCCAGTGCGTCGTGTTTTTAAGAGGGCCGTGCACCCGGAAATGCAGGTCAGGAAAATGACTTTAATAAGGGCTCGTTTGGGCTCCGGCTGGAGGACCGCCAGTCTTTCCATGGTCTCCACGGGCTCCAGGACATCAGCCATGCGGCGCGGTGGCGCTCCAACATTACCTCCAGTGTCCGACACGCTCCCGATCAGTCCTTCCCAACGGGACGAATGCCGTTCCTAAACCTCTCAGAGAGCTATATCCAACGTAAACCCTAGCTTTCACATTTCTGCAGAAGGACTGGTGTGTTTTTTTAGTAAGAAAAGGCATTTCTTTGAAGTAACACACAAGAAATGAAATGGCTTTTGCGATGGAATTATGGGCAAATATTTATGTCAAGTTTGCATGACGGTAATGATAAAAAAGGTTGTACATCACATTTAAATGACTGTATTTCAAAAACAAAAATATAGGCTTCTTCTTTTTTAGTTGACTGAAATTAGTTATTCGATTTTTTTTTTTTTTTGATTTTTTTATTCATTTACATTTTGGATGTAGCTTTCTATGACGATTTTAGTAACTTTAATGTTTGTCTATAGCCATTTTTTTAAACCAATTTGAAACCAATATTTTTTTTTACTTTTTGAAGTTACCAATCACCAATAGTAAGAAAAGGCATTTCTCTGAAGTAACACACTGATCACACAAGAAATTAAATGGCTTTTGCGATGGAATTATGGGCAAATATTTATGTCAAGTTTGCATGACGGTAATGATAAAAAAGGTTGTACATCACATTTAAATGACTGTATTTCAAAAACAAAAATATAGGCTTCTTCTTTTTTAGTTGACTGAAATTAGTTATTCGATTTTTTTTTTTTTTATTCATTTACATTTTGGATGTAGATTTCTATGACGATTTTAGTAACTTTAATGTTTGTCTATAGCCATTTTTTTAAACCAATTTGAAACCAATATTTTTTTTTACTTTTTGAAGTTACCAATCACCAATAGTACGAAAAGGCATTTCTCTGAAGTAACACACTGATCACACAAGAAATTAAATGGCTTTTGCGATGGAATTATGGTCAAATATTTATGTCAAGTTTGCATGACGGTAATGATAAAAAAGGTTTAATAAAGATGTACATCACATTTAAATGAATGTATTTCCAAACAAAAATATAGGCTTCTTCTTTTTTAGTTGACTGAAATTAGTTATTTGATTTTTTTTTTATTCATTTACATTTTGGATGTAGCTTTCTATGACGATTTTAGTAACTTTAATGTTTGTCTATAGCCATTTTTTTAAACCAATTTGAAACCAATATTTTTTTTTACTTTTTGAAGTTACCAATCACCAATAGTAAGAAAAGGCATTTCTCTGAAGTAACACACTGATCACACAAGAAATTATATGGCTTTTGCGATGGAATTATGGTCAAATATTTATGTCAAGTTTACATGACGGTAATGATAAAAAAGGTTGTACATCACATTTAAATGACTGTATTTCAAAAACAAAAATATAGGCTTCTTCTTTTTTAGTTGACTGAAATTAGTTATTCGATTTTTTTTGATTTTTTTTATTCATTTACATTTTGGATGTAGCTTTCTATGACGATTTTAGTAACTTTAATGTTTGTCTATAGCCATTTTTTTAAACCAATTTGAAACCAATATTTTTTTTTACTTTTTGAAGTTACCAATCACCAATAGTAAGAAAATGCATTTCTCTGAAGTAACACACTGATCACACAAGAAATTAAATGGCTTTTGCGATGGAATTATGGGCAAATATTTATGTCAAGTTTGCATGACGGTAATGATAAAAAAGGTTGTACATCACATTTAAATGACTGTATTTCAAAAACAAAAATATAGGCTTCTTCTTTTTTAGTTGACTGAAATTAGTTATTCGATTTTTTTTTTTTTTTTTTTATTCATTTACATTTTGGATGTAGCTTTCTATGACGATTTTAGTAACTTTAATGTTTGTCTATAGCCATTTTTTTAAACCAATTTGAAACCAATATTTTTTTTTACTTTTTGAAGTTACCAATCACCAATAGTAAGAAAAGGCATTTCTCTGAAGTAACACACTGATCACACAAGAAATTATATGGCTTTTGCGATGGAATTATGGTCAAATATTTATGTCAAGTTTACATGACGGTAATGATAAAAAAGGTTTAATAAAGATGTACATCACATTTAAATGAATGTATTTCAAAAACAAAAATATAGGCTTCTTCTTTTTTAGTTGACTGAAATTAGTTATTCGATTTTTTTTTTTTATTCATTTACATTTTGGATGTAGCTCTCTATGACGATTTTAGTAACTTTAATGTTTGTCTATAGCCATTTTTTTTAAATCAATTTGAAACCAATATTTTTTTTTTACTTTTTGAAGTTACAAATCACCAATATATCATATCAAATAATCATGAAAATGTATACAACTTAAAATAAAATAAAATTAATAAAAGTCCGTATAAATGTTTCTAGTTCTTTTGGCTAAGAAAAAACTTTTTATGTGTGTGATGTCTACTAAAATTATTTTTTAAACCCATATACAATCATCTACAGCGACCACAATAACATACTTTTACTACACAAAATGATAATATTTTTTTACAATATCTAATTAAATGGCATTCCAACACCATGATTACTAATCTTGATCAACACATCTAATGTAACATTTAGCCCTGATTTCCCGCTCAACAAGTTATTTGAGATCACAGATAAAAGCCCCAAATCAGAGGCAAATCGGTACGACGATCGCTGTGTTATGATTATTAAAGATGCAACAATCTTAGCAGGTTGAATATCTAGTCCTGATCCAGGATCTGTCGTGTAAAAGTGTTCTGACCGAGCCTGACATCGGGAAAGAAAGACAATTATTGGAACAAAGCAACAAACACCCGCTATCATTATTTACAAGTGGTGGTTCTCAAACAATTTGTGAAATTGTGCTCCTATTGTACAAATTGATCAGTCATTCTCGAGTTGCTCTTGTTTGCTATTGATTGCCTGTGTCGAATGAAGGGGTATTTTGGTGCAGACATTCCTGTACTCTTTAGTTGCAAAGCTGGCCTTGACATCAGCTTCGATCTCATGAATAAACATGCAGCATTGTAACTACTATACATCTGCCTATATGTTGTTATATTCTTGGTCAGTAGTTTAAGATGAGTTAAAGGAGTAGTTCACTTTTGAAAAACAAAATTGCTGATAATTGACTCACCCCCATGTCATCCAAGATGTCCATGTCTTTCTTTCTTCAGTCGAAAAGAAATTGAGGTTTTTGATGAAAACATTCCAGGATTTTTCTCCATATAATGGACTTCAATGGGAACCAAACGGTAAGACAGTTTCAGTGCAAACTGTTCAAAGGGCTTTAAACGATTCCAGACGATGAATAAGGGTCTTATCAAGCGAAACGATCGCTCATTTAATAAATAAATAACAAAGTTTAAGTTTTATAAGCTCCTTCGCATTCGTGACTCTCCTGTTCGAACTCGTTCATCAAAACGAATGAATCTAATTTCGAGTCATGACTCGAAGGGTCCTAGATAAGACCCTTATTCATCGTCTGGTTTTGTTTAAAGCCCTTTGATTAGTTTGTACTGAAACTGTCTTACCGTTTGGTTCCCATTGAAGTCCATTATATGGAGAAAATCCTGGAATGTTTTCAAAAACCTTCATTTCTTTTCGACTGAAGAAAGAAAGACATGGACATCTTGGATGACATGGGGGTGAGTACATTTTTTTTAAAAGTGAACTACTCCTTTAAGGGCTCAAACATATCTGAATAATAGTCAAAGATAACTATATAATGTATTTGTGTAGTGTTTTACATATTGACAGCTGTATTTTGAAACAATAAAGCCGTGTGTCCACCAAAGCGTTTTTATCTAGACGCTCTGCTGAAGACGCCGTGCTTTGGGCACTTGAGAGCGTTTTTTCCGTTGAGACGTTTCGTTGCTACGATACAGAATATCCGCAGCAGTTTGAATGTTGTGACAGTTGGTCGGTGTGGTATTAGTCCCGCCCCTCCTCCACTGTGATTGGACGGCTGGGTAAAAAGCTGCGTTTTATCCAAAGTTGAACATTTTTCAACTCCCAGCGACCAGTAAAAACGCGGGGCGCTTCAGCGTGAAAAAAAACGCTCAGTGCCTCGTTACGCTCATGGCGTTTAAAAAACGCGGCGCTCCCATTGAAAACAATTGAAAACATACGCCAGGCGCATGGAAAAACGCTTTGGTGTACACACGGCCTAAGTAAACCCTACTTATGAGTTGTCATGAGATCAGACTGCAACGTCGTTTTCTGGAGGAGTTATCCCTTAATAGACTTGCTCCTGTCAAACCCAGAGAGTGTAGACAATCTGAAGGGAGTTTGGGTAACACATGCTTGCAATTTTGTTTTTATAGCTTACTTTTTGAGCCCTAGATTTTCAACATTTGTGCTTTCTGAACCCTTTAAATCCAAAGAATGTGTTACAGTCAGCGGCAGACTCATCTGGCCCTAATTAAGATTAGTATTATTCTTCTAGGCCCTGTGAAAGAGCAACCTAACAAACACATACTGCACATCTGCTACTGCATACTGATCTGCAATGTTCTGGTGTGGGATTCGATACCCCAAACCTTTTACGCCTAATTACTAAATATCACCTGTTTGACCTCATTCCTCTCTGTTTTTATCTTCTAGGCGGCTGCACTGCACCAGAAACTACATCCACATGCACTTGTTCGTGTCATTCATGTTGAGGGCCATTAGTATATTTGTGAAAGATGTGGTGTTGTACTCTGGTGCTGCGCTGCAAGAAATGGAGCGAATCACAGTGGAGGATCTCAAATCCATCACAGAAGCCCCTCCCGCCAATAAAACACATTTTGTAAGTGCAGCACACACACAATCATATCTCTGGGTGAAGTTCATAGCCGAGGGATCCCACGTTGTGCTGTTGCCATAGCAGGCGGAGCGTCATTATCACCTCAAAGCATTTGTTGTTGTCCTGATGTAGTCATTTCCTCATAAATGTGTAACCTGGAAACAGGGTTTTCAATTAAACATTATAATTAAGACTCTTCCAGTAACTATGGTAGTTACTAGAAGAAGGATTATGGATATTCTCGTGGGTCCCGAGAGCGGGATTGATGATGGGTGCTGTGATTTGGTCCAGTAAGCAGTCACCCAGCAACCTCCAATTCCCTTTCCATTTCAGTTCAGTGGAGGAAACGTGCCTTATTGAATCACCCCAGTGTTTCTCTCTGGCCAACGGTGTGTAATCGTGCCATTTGGAAGCAGCTCCAAACACTGACACTTTACATGCCCTCTTGCACTTTTACACTCACTTCAGTCAGCACACTTCTGTTCACCTGTGTGTATTTATCATTGTTTACAGTTTAACCCCTTCGCTGTCACCCCCCTTTTTGAGAATGGGGGTTAAAATGCTCTATTCACAATTAAATGGTTGTAATTTAAGAATGCTTTGGAATATATACCCACGTTTGGTCTTGTTTTTTTTAAAGAAAACACTCAGCAGATTATTGCTGAAGTGAAAACACTTCAAAAAAAATTTATGAAACAGTTAAATTTACAGTAAATCAAATTTTATTTTATATAAAATGTATATTTTGCAAAAAAAAAAAAAAATCTTTTACTATAAAATCAAAGCCATAAATCTAACCAAGTTATGCCCTGAACCGCAACCTAAAAAAAAAAAAAAATCAGTAAAAAAAAAAAAAAATCAGTAAAAAAAAAAAAATCTAGCATTTTGAGATTAAAGTCGAAATGTTTCGAGATTAAAGTCGAAATGTTTCGAGATTAAAGTCGAAATGTTTCGAGATTAAAGTATAATGTTTCGAGATTAAAGTCGAAATGTTTCGAGATTAAAGTCGGAATGTTTCGAGATTAAAGTCGGAATGTTTCGAGATTAAAGTCGAAATGTTTCGAGATTAAAGTCGAAATGTTTCGAGATTAAAGTCATAATTTTTCGAGATTAAAGTCGGAATGTTTCGAGATTAAAGTCGGAATGTTTCGAGATTAAAGTCGAAATGTTTCGAGATTAAAGTCGAAATGTTTCGAGATTAAAGTCGAAATGTTTCGAGATTAAAGTCGAAATGTTTCGAGATTAAAGTCGAAATGTTTCGAGATTAAAGTATAATGTTTCGAGATTAAAGTCGAAATGTTTCGAGATTAAAGTCGAAATGTTTCGAGATTAAAGTCGAAATGTTTCGAGATTAAAGTCGAAATGTTTCGAGATTAAAGTCGGAATGTTTCGAGATTAAAGTATAATGTTTCGAGATTAAAGTCGAAATGTTTCAAGATTAAAGTCGGAATGTTTCGAGATTAAAGTCGAAATGTTTCGAGATTAAAGTCGAAATGTTTCGAGATTAAAGTCGAAATGTTTCGAGATTAAAGTCGGAATGTTTCGAGATTAAAGTCGGAATGTTTCGAGATTAAAGTCGAAATGTTTCGAGATTAAAGTATAATGTTTCGAGATTAAAGTCGAAATGTTTCGAGATTTTAGTCGGAATGGTTCGAGATTAAAGTCGAAATGTTTCGAGATTAAAGTCGAAATGTTTCGAGATTAAAGTCGAAATGTTTCGAGATTAAAGTCGGAATGTTTCGAGATTAAAGTCGGAATGTTTCGAGATTAAAGTCGAAATGTTTCGAGATTAAAGTCGGAATGTTTCGAGATTAAAGTCGAAATGTTTCGAGATTAAAGTCCTAATTTTTCGAGATTAAAGTCGAAACATTGTGCATTCATAACAGTGTGCGTCTACTGGCTCAGAGCGCGCGCGCGTGTGTGTGTGTGTGTGAAGTCGAACTGCCATGGATAAACACAAAATAGTAGCTTTTTACTTTTATCTGGGCTTTCAACAAAATTCTACACACGTCACACGTGCTAGTGGCAGTGTTTCTGAGGTGTTTTCGTGCTCGTCTAGTCAACACTATCTGGGTCGAGAACACAACAGTAACAGTTCGGTCTCCCTCTTCAACGTAAATACGCTCTGGATACATTTTAAGTGCATCATTCTGTATCCAATCATTTGGCCGGATCCTGTGATTTCCTAAGATTTAATAACCACTTATGGTTGAGGAGAGATTCTCTGATATGATTGTAAAGCACTTTGAGTGTAGGCATATATGAAAGCGCTATATAAATGCCCTATTCATTCATTCATTCATTCATAAAGTTGGATTTCTCCATCGAGTCTGAAAAGTGTTTTCCGTGTTGGTTTTCCTATAGGCTAAAGTCTATTCCGGCGCATTATATTTTATAACGATAAAGTAAGATAAGTAATTCAGATAAAGGTAAAAAGCTACTATTTTGTGTTTATCCATGGCAGTTCGACTTCACACACACACGCGCGCGCTCTGAGCCAGTGGACGCGCACTGTTATGAATGCACAATGTTTCGACTTTAATCTCGAAAGATTTCGACTTTAATCTCGAAACATTCCGACTTTAATCTCGAAACATTCCGACTTTAATCTCGAAACATTCCGACTTTAATCTCGAAACATTTCGACTTTAATCTCGAAACATTCCGACTTTAATCTCGAAACATTCGGACTTTAATCTCGAAAGATTTCGACTTTAATCTCGAAACATTCCGACTTTAATCTCGAAACATTCCGACTTTAATCTCGAAACATTTCGACTTTAATCTCGAAACATTTCGACTTTAATCTCGAAACATTTCGACTTTAATCTCGAAACATTCCGACTTTAATCTCGAAACATTCCGACTTTAATCTCGAAACATTCCGACTTTAATCTCGAAACATTTCGACTTTAATCTCGAAACATTTCGACTTTAATCTCGAAACATTCCGACTTTAATCTCGAAACATTCCGACTTTAATCTCGAAACATTTCGACTTTAATCTCGAAACATTCCGACTTTAATCTCGAAACATTCCGACTTTAATCTCGAAACATTCCGACTTTAATCTCGAAACATTCCGACTTTAATCTCGAAACATTTCGACTTTAATCTCGAAACATTCCGACTTTAATCTCGAAACATTTCGACTTTAATCTCGAAACATTTCGACTTTAATCTCGAAACATTTCGACTTTTATCTCGAAACATTCCGACTTTAATCTCGAAACATTTCGACTTTAATCTCGAAACATTTCGACTTTAATCTCGAAACATTTCGACTTTAATCTCGAAACATTTCGACTTTAATCTCGAAACATTTCGACTTTAATCTCGAAACATTTCGACTTTAATCTCGAAACATTCCGACTTTAATCTCGAAACATTTCGACTTTAATCTCGAAACATTCCGACTTTAATCTCGAAACATTTCGACTTTAATCTCGAAATGCTAGATTTTTAAAAAAAAATTTACAGATTTTTTTTTTTTTTACAGATTTTTTTTTTTTTACTGACTTTTTTTTTTTTAGCTTGCGGTTCAGGGCTTCCATACAAATTTGAAGTTGATATCACAAAAATTGAAGTTCCCATGGGATTTTGTTTAGGCGTAGTACCAAAAATAGCCACCGGGTGCCATTGAATTCCATTGAATTTAGTTGTGTACATTCTGCCTTAACAAATTAATACATTTCTGTTCAAATATCACTTCTGTCACAAAATTTGGATCCTTGAGACTCAGACCTTTCTGACAATATGTGTTTTGTCAAGATTAGAAAAGGTTTTGATCATAAATAATGATGCCCAAAAGGGGAGGAGCCTGATAAAATAAGTACCGTTTCTATGGTAACGCGACGTTCAATTATAAAACGCTTTTCGCAGGATGAATTCTGAGTTTATAAGCTTTCAAATGATACCTAATTTATGATAACTACTAAAATATGTGATTTAATAAAAAGGCGATAACAAATAATATTATATTTTAGAGGATAACATATACATATTATCATTTCTAGAGAATAATATTATACTATAATTTTTTATTTTTTATTGAAAAATACTAGATTATATGTTTTATTATGAACTTTTAGCATAAAAACAGAAGTTTCAATGATTAAAAGTGGGTGCGTCGACTTTTTGTGACAAAGGTCATTTTTTGAGGTGCACTCTTGTCATTAATTCATCAATTACTCTTCCTACATAATTTGTAACACAAAACATAATATCATAATATCTATTTAGAAGTCTTAGACATTTCCAACTATATATAATTTGTCATAATTAGATGATACCCACTTTTCATATGCTGTGAACTGCCTCTATTCGGCGTGCTGAAACTCCATTGGCCAGTGTGGTTCAGTATTTTGGTTAAATGTGTTTCCTCATTATGTCAGCTATTGACAAAACGTCTCATTCCCTCATCTCAGGACACAGAGGTCACGAGAGGTCACCTAGAGATGATTACCATAGTAATTTAGGACACTTGAACAGCGAAAGTAATCAGAACACCTCCGCAGTACTTGTATTATATGGCCCGTCTCTCTAGAGAATGAGTTTTGATTTTGGGGGGATAGTCAAGCTACATGTAGTCTGCATCTCAAATTAAGGTGACCATGATTCTCCTTTACTCTTCAAGATCGGCTGTAAGGTGGCTGTGACTCTCTTCTTGTACTTCTTGGCGACTAATTATTACTGGATTCTGGTGGAAGGCCTGTACCTGCACAGCCTTATCTTCATGACCTTCTTCTCAGACAGGAAGTACCTCTGGGGCTTTACTCTGATTGGATGGGGTGAGTACGCTTGTTCACGCTCATCTCCAGTACAGAATTATTCAGCTTCTGGCTACAGACACAAGATCTAATTACTGCTTTCTTTAGACATCTTCTCTGGGTAATTTGAAGTAAATAACTAAGTGGGTGCTGCATGTTTTGGGGACACATGTGTGTGTATACTTTGGACTTCACGGCTCCTGCATTGTACACACTGTGCGGAAAAGCTGGACATGCACAGCGCATACAATGTGGATGCTGTGGAGCCGAGCCGCTTCTCAGGGTCGAAGAGCCACAATGAATGTTAACGCACTAGTTTTGGGGGACATATTCACAATTAACTAGGAGTTTCCCCTCAATAAACTCTTTATTGATAGTTAGTGAGCCAGTTGTTGTAGTGGTTATGTTTAGGTATGAGGAAGCGGAGTAGTCGTGCAGAATAATGCATTAATATGTGCTTTATAAGTACTAATAAACAACCAGTATGTTTGTAATATGTATGCTAATAAGCATCTAGTTAATAGTGAATATGTGTTCCCTGGTCTATAGTGCTATAGTCCCACCAAAATGTTAATATAAAATAAAAAATAAAACAATTAGCTTGTTTATTAGTTTGCAGTGATATATACCTATTTTACACCAAAACAATTCATAAAAAATCTCGTATCCAAGATTATCAAAAATCAAGGCCAATCTTAAAGGAGTAGTTCACTATTAAAAAAACTTTTGCTGATAATTGACTCACCCCCATGTCATTCAAGATGTCCATGTCTTTCTTTCTTCAGTCGAAAAGAAATTAAGGTTTTTGATGAAAACATTCCAGGATTTTCTCCATATAATGGACTTCAATGGGAACCAAACGGTAAGACAGTTTCAGTGCAAACTGTTCAAAGGGCTTTAAACGACTCCAGATGATGAATAAGGGTCTTATCAAGCGAAACGATCGCTCATTTAATAAATAAATAACAAAGTTTAAGTTTTATAAGCTCAAATGGTTGCTTTGCTCTGTTTTATGATTTGCGTTTGTGACTCTCCTGTTTCGAACTCTTTCCTGTTCGAATTGACTCAATCTTTTTCCGAGTCAATCCGTTCGTTAAATGAACCAAATGACATGAAAAAGGATTCGTTCATTTTGAAGAAGGAGTTTGAACAGGAGAGTCACGAACGTGCATCACAGAACAGAGCAAGGCGAGCGTTTAAGCTTATAAAACTTAAACTTGTTATTTATTTATTTAATGAGCGATCGTTTCGCTTGATAAGACCCTTATTCATCATCTGGAGTCGTTTAAAGCCCTTTGAACAGTTTGCACTGAAACTGTCTTACCGTTTGGTTCCCATTGAAGTCCATTATATGGAGAAAATCCTGGAATGTTTTGATCAAAAACCTTAATTTCTTTTCGACTGAAGAAAGAAAGACATGGACATCTTGGATGACATGGGGGTGAGTAAATTATCAGCAAAAGTTTTTTTAAAAAGTGAACTACTCCTTTAATAGTCTTGAGAGTTGTGTGATAATAAACTCATATGTCCTTGGACTTACTAAATTTGTCCTTAAACAGGTGTTCCTGCGATGTTCGTCACCATCTGGGCCAGCGTGAGAGCCACTCTTGCTGACACCGAGTAAGTGTTTGTCCTTGATATATGTGGAATACAGTATTAAATCAGCTTGTTGAACAAAGCACATTTCCTGAGCATGGTAAATGATGTATGCAGGATGTTTTGATGAATATATGTGTATTGCATTAGGGGTGTAACGGTACATAGAAGTATCCCCATGGTTCGATACGAGTTTGGTACAACATGAACAATCAACAAATCCCCGACGCTAGGTTTCTGTTCATTTACTTTGAGCAGACAGTAATGCAAATTACAGTTTGTTCCACTGAAGTTGTGACAGTACAGCCACTTTTGAAAAAACTTTTGCTGATAATTTACTCACCCTCATGTCATCCAAGATGTCCGTGTCTTTCTTTCTTCAGTCGAAAAAAATAAGGTTTTTGATGAAAACATTCCAGGATTTTTCTCCATATAATGGACTTCAATGGGAACCAAACGGTAAGACAGTTTCAGTGCAAACTGTTCAAAGGGCTTTAAACGACTCCTGTTCGAACTCGTTCATCAAAATGAACAAATCTTTTTCCAATCGTTTCGTTCATTGAATGAACCAATTGACTCGGGAAAAGATTCGTTCATTTTGATGAACGAGGAGAGTCACGCAGAACAGAGCAAGGCGAGCGTTTGAGCTTATAAAACTTAAACTTTGTTATTTATTTATTAAATAAGCGATCGTTTCGCTTGATAAGACCCTTATTCATCGTCTGGAGTCGTTTAAAGCCCTTTGAACAGTTTGCACTGAAACTGTCTTACCGTTTGGTTCCCATTGAAGTCCATTATATGGAGAGAAATCCTGGAATGTTTTCATCAAAAACCTTAATTTCTTTTCGACTGAAGAAAGAAAGACATGGACATCTTGGATGACACGGGGGTGAGTAAATTATCAGCAATTTTTTTTTTCAAAAGTGAACTACTCCTTTAAGTGTACTAAGCAGTAAACCATCCATTCTTGTTGAAGAGCATTTGTTATTTGGTCACTTTCAGCTACAAAACTGAAATGAATCTCTTGTGATATAAAAGTAGAAAACAAATAGAGTAATGAAACTTTGAGAGTTAACATGCGGCGTCTACTTCACCTTTCCCTGAGGAGACAGCGAGTGGAGCGGCGCCTGAGTTTTCCCATTTCCAGGACATGCATATTTCATCACATCCACTGCACAAACCAGCACAATACCAATGATTTCAGCTCATTATAACATCAGAAACAACTTAAAATACGACAGATCATTTGAAAGGCTCTATTGTGTACACTCACAATATAAACAAGACAATGTAAAATGAAAAAAACAAACAGGGTGCCGCTTTCTGCCACCAGAACTGATGTTTTGGGTTGGTGTGAAGATCGTCTCTTCTTCTTCAGTTAGCAATAGGGTTGGGTATCGTTTGAATTTGAACGATTCTGATTCCGATTCCGGTTCCTAACGATTCTCGATTCCGATTCCTTGTTTCGATTCCGGTTCCTAACGATTCTCGATTCCGATTCCTTGTTTCGATTCCGGTTCCTAACGATTCTCGATTCCGATTCCTTGTTTCGATTCCGGTTCCTAACGATTCTCGATTCCGATTCCTTGTTTCGATTCCGGTTCGTAACGATTCTCGATTCCGATTCCTTGTTTCGATTCCGGTTCCTAACGATTCTCGATTCCGATTCCTTGTTTCGATTCCGGTTCCTAACGATTCTCGATTCCGATTCCTTGTTTCGATTCCGGTTCCTAACGATTCTCGATTCCGATTCCTTGTTTCGATTCCGGTTCCTAACGATTCTGATTCCGATTCCTTGTTTCGATTCCGGTTCCTAACGATTCTCGATTCCGAATCCTTGTTTCGATTCCGGTTCCTAACGATTCTCCATTCCGAATCCTTGTTTCGATTCCGGTTCCTAACGATTCTCGATTCCGATTCCTTGTTTCGATTCCGGTTCCTAACAATTCTCGATTCCGATTCCTTGTTTCGATTCCAGTTCCTAACGATTCTCGATTCCGATTCCTTGTTTCGATTCCGGTTCCTAACGATTCTCGATTCCGATTCCTTGTTTCGATTTCGGTTCCTAACGATTCTCGATTCCGATTCCTTGTTTCGATTCCGGTTCCTAACGATTCTCGATTCCGATTCCTTGTTTCGATTCCGGTTCCTAACGATTCTCGATTCAGATTCCTTGTTTCGATTCCGGTTCCTAACGATTCTGATTCCGATTCCTTGTTTCGATTACGGTTCCTAACGATTCTCGATTCCGATTCCTTGTTTCGATTCCGGTTCCTAACGATTCTCGATTCCGAATCCTTGTTTCGATTCCGGTTCCTAACGATTCTGGATTCCGATTCCTTGTTTCGATTCCGGTTCCTAACGATTCTCGATTCCGATTCCTTGTTTCGATTCCGGTTCCTAACGATTCTCGATTCCGAATCCTTGTTTCGATTCCGGTTCCTATCGATTCTCGATTCCGATTCCTTGTTTCGATTCCGGTTCCTAACGATTCTCGATTCCGATTCCTTGTTTCGATTCCGGTTCCTAACGATTCTCGATTCCGATTCCTTGTTTCGATTCCGGTTCCTAACGATTCTCGATTCCGAATCCTTGTTTCGATTCCGGTTCCTAACGATTCTCGATTCCGAATCCTTGTTTCGATTCCGGTTCCTAACGATTCTCGATTCCGATTCCTTGTTTCGATTCCGGTTCCTAACGATTCTCGATTCCGATTCCTTGTTTCGATTCCGGTTCCTAACGATTCTCGATTCCGATTCCTTGTTTCGATTCCGGTTCCTAACGATTCTCGATTCCGAATCCTTGTTTCGATTCCGGTTCCTATCGATTCTCGATTCCGATTCCTTGTTTCGATTCCGGTTCCTAACGATTCTCGATTCCGATTCCTTGTTTCGATTCCGGTTCCTAACGATTCTCGATTCCGATTCCTTGTTTCGATTCCGGTTCCTAACGATTCTCGATTCCGATTCCTTGTTTCGATTCCGGTTCCTAACGATTCTGATTCCGATTCCTTGTTTCGATTCCGGTTCCTAACGATTCTCGATTCCGATTCTTTTAAGAGGCAGGGTCAAAAAAGTTTAGCTAACCTTGCTAACCAACGGCCTTTCTGAAGGAAATACTCCTTCTGTAAAAATACTGCTTTTGTCACAAATTTTGCATTTTGCCGAGATTTCGTTATTTTTAGAAAAGTGAAGCCACACTTTGGATCGCCGACGTAAGCTACTCATGTTCGACTCGCGCGGTTATGCCAACACTTCCGGTAGACGCTTCTTCGTTGGTGTTGTTCAGTGGTTTCTTCTTCCGCTCGGCGGACTATGAATATCGAAACTAGGAATCGAAATTTTAACTTTTGAACGATTCCGGGAAAAACTAAAAGTTAGTCTCGGTTCCAATCGATACTCGATTCTCGATACCCAACCCTAGTTAGCAAACACTGTTGCATTGCCACCGCGCCCCCTTCTGGATTGTAGTGTTATCCGACTGTCTTCACCGAACCGTAGCGTCCGTACCGACCCATGAATACAGTGCATGTGCCGCTACACCCCTAATATTAAATGTTAATAAGATGGTCTTTCTGAAAGTGACTGATCTGGTTTCTGATCTACAGGTGCTGGGATTTAAGCGCAGGAAACCTCAAATGGATCGTGCAGATCCCTATTCTGACAGCAATTGTTGTACGTTTACACAAGTAAATTCATTCAAAAAGTTGGAGCTTTTTAGGCAGAAAAAGTTTTATATTTTTAAATCAATGAAACAAATATAAATTCAGTCGTGTTTACTCATTTTTGACTTGTAGTTTAAGTTCTGCTGAGCTTTTATTTGTCTGCCATTGGCTTTGGTGTGTGAACGCAGTGTAAGAATCCTCAATTAGAGTCATTTCATGCTTCATTTATTTTATTTTTAGTCTCATTTATGATCCAAATTCATTTGTGTGTATTTTTCTACCCCCAAGGTAAATTTTTTGTTGTTCCTGAATATAATCAGAGTCTTGGCAACCAAACTTCGAGAAACAAATGCAGGGAGATGCGACACCAGACAACAGTACAGGTAAGAGTAAACCACATCTGAAACACACACTGCTGTTTGAGGTCAGTGATGTTTTATAAGAAGATGCTTCTGTTCACCAGGACTGAATGAATATTATACAATCAATAGCAATAAAGGAATGGTTATACTTTTGATTTGGGTCCAATTCTCCAATTCAAAGCATGTATTGGCCTCAATAAACTCCTAATTAGTTGTATTTATATAATACCAAAATGTGTAAAAAAAAAAAAAAAAGTATAGTGACCAAAATATGTGTGTGTATATATATATATATATATATATTATGTGTTTACATAATGTGTGGTGTGTATAATTATTTTGTATATATAAATACACACACATGCATGTAAACTTTTAAGAAATAATTGCATGTATATACGTTATATATATTTATACAAAATTAATATTATACATAAATATAAATATTTGATACATTAATAGCAAATTTTTCTTAAATATATACATGCATATGTGTGTATTTATATAGACAAAATAATTATACACACTACACACACATATATTATGTAAACACAAACTTTTATTAATCGTCCAGCCCTACTATATATATATATATTATAAAGTAAATATTTGTGAAAAGAAATCACTTTAGCAAAGTTTTTGCTAATTTCTGTTAATTTTGATAAATAAATATAAATATACTGTCAGTAAAATGTGTTCATTTTAAAAATACTGAAACAAAAGCATTAAAAAAGTAAATATTATGTTAGGATTGAATGAGATCCAAGAATAATTTAATAAAGCTTTACAGTAGGAACAAATAAACATTACATTTTATTATATGATGGTTTTATTATAAATATGGTGATAATATAAGATATTTACCATCTGAATAACAATGTCATGTCAACAAATGGAAAAGTCAGACAGGTATTCATTATCATGTGAATTATTGTGTCTTTTACCCCTTTTTATATATATATATATAGTCTTCCTGTTAATGAAAACTTGCTTTAATTAGCTTGAACAAAACTTAAACTTGTAAAGACAATAATTCAATAATTTTAGTGATTCTCGTTTTCTAAATCTACATTTTAAAAAACACCTTATATATGCATTTATTGTTATTTTTGATCAATTTAATGAATCCTTGCTCAATAAAAGTGTCAGCTACTTTTATAGAAAAAAAGCCAAACTTGTGAAGGGTCATGTGTGTTTAACTAGCGTGTGTTTGCGCCCCACAGAAAGCTGTTGAAGTCCACCCTGGTGCTCATGCCGTTGTTCGGCGTTCACTACATCGTCTTCATGGCAATGCCCTACACAGAGGTGTCCGGGGTCCCGTGGCAAATACAGATGCACTATGAAATGCTCATTAACTCATTCCAGGTCAAACTTCAAACTTCTTGACATGTAGATGATAGATGATTTGCTATAAGTTGTATCTTTATATTTCATGCTCTGTTTTTCAGGGATTCTTTGTTGCAATTATATATTGCTTCTGCAATGGAGAGGTAAGAACGAATTTCTGTATCTTCTGTATCCCTAAACTTTATCTGATAATTGTTAGTGTCCACATGCACAAGACGTTACACTAACTCTGAGTGTTGTACACTCTCAGAAAAAAGGTACAAAAGCTGTCACTGGGGCTGTACCTTTTCAAAAGGTACACTTTTGTACCCAAAGGCTGCATACTGGTACCTTAGTGGTACATATTAGCACCTAAAATGTACATATTAACACTTAAAATGTACATATTAGTACCTAAAATATACATATTAGGACCTAAAATATATATATTAGCTCCTGAAATGTACATATTAACACTAAAAATGTACGTATTAGCATCTAAAATGTACATATTAACACCTAAAACGGACATATTAGCACCTAAAATATACATATTAGGACCTAAAATAGACATATTAGCTCCTGAAATTTACATGTTAACACTAAAAATGTACATATTAGCATCTAAAATGGACATATTAGCACCTAAAATATACATATTAGGATGATAGACATATTAGCTCCTGAAATGTACATATTAACACTAAAAATGTACATATTAGCACCTAAAATGTACATATTAACACCTAAAATATACATATTAGGACCTAAAATAGACATATTAACTCCTGAAATGTACATATTAACACTAAAAATGTACATATTAGCACCTAAAATGTACATATTAGCTCCTGAAATGTACATATTAACACCAAAAATGTACATATTAGCACCTAAAATATACATATTAACACCTAAACTAGATATATTAGCTCCTGAAATGTACATATTTACACTAAAAATGTACACATTAACACCTAAAATGTACATATTAGCACCTAAAATTTACATATTAGCACCTGAAATGTACATATTAGCACCTAAAATGTACCTATTAACACTTAAAATATACTTATTAGCACCTAAAATATACATATTAGCACCTGAAATGTCCATATTAGCACCTAAAATGGACAAAAGTTTACCTTTTGAAAAGGTACAGCCCCAGTGACAGCTTTTGTACCTTTTTTTCTGACAGTGTATAGGTACTTGTTTATATAACAGATCCTGCAATAAATGGTCCTGGCAGCGATAGGACCGCAAGATTTATTTATTTATTTATTTTATGTTCTTGCAATTTATACTATTTTGTATAATGTGCAATTATTAATTTCATAGTTTTAACTATTTCAGTTTAATTCACCTACTCAGGGAACGAGGCTTACATACGTAACCGAGACGTTATTTAGCAACTTGTTTCAAAAAGTAACTTAGATATTTTGTTGTAAATTGAAAAAGTAATGCGTTACTTGACTAGTTACTTGAACTCAAGTTACTTGTCATGAGTTTATAGTAGAATGAACGACTTGTTTAGTCCTGATCCCTCTCTTCAGGTCCAGGCAGAGATCAAGAAATCGTGGAGTCGGAGGACACTGGCTCTGGACTTCAAGAGGAAAGCCCGGAGCGGCAGCAACACGTACAGCTACGGGCCCATGGTGTCCCACACCAGCGTCACCAACGTGACGGCCCGCGGGCCCCTGGCCCTGCACCTCACCACCCGCCTGGGGCCCGGGGCCATCAACGGACACCGCAACCTCCCGGGGTACGTCAAGAACGGCTCCGTCTCAGAGAACTCCATCCCGTCCTCGGGCCACGAGAACCTCCAGGCGGAGAAAACCATCCCGGTGGTGGAGGAGGAAAGAGAAACGGTCATGTGACTTCAGAAAGAGGACTAGTGTTGTGCAGAAAAGGGCTAGCAGGTCCTTTGTTTCCTCAGGATTCCCTCACAGTGGGAGCATCTCAGATGTGTCGGAGACTCAACGGACCAACCGGAGACCATCAGTGTCCAGGAAACGAGCCGGACTGGAACCTTTCACTGGCAGTATTTGGAGGATCAGGACAGATTTCGGTTATGGTGAGGTCCGATGAGTCTGCTTCTGATGAAAGGTCTGGCTCTCTGGAAGGTGAATTGTAAATAAGATATTTGGACTTATTTGATCAGCACTAATGTCATTTTATTTACACTAGTTCTGAATGATGCCAGATCTGTGATCTTTGTATTATAATAGCTGTTTTTTGTTCGGAGAATGTGATATTTATATTTCTCTAAGCCTTGAGAGTTTTAACAGTACACTGCAAAAACAAATATGTTCTTCCTCAGTGTTTCTGTGTTGTTTTCCAGCACAAATATCACAACATTCCCAAATCAAGATAGATTTACTGGAGAAACACGATATTAGGTCTCAAATTTATCAAATATCTGCCAATGGGTTCATAAAAATACTAATTGTTTTGAGTAAAAACTCACAAAAACAAGACTTCATATCTGCTGCTCTAATAAATGTCTTGATTCAAGAATTTTGTACTGGAAACAATCCAAAAATACTGAGGAAGAACGTCATTTTTGTTTTTTTTTGTTTTTTTGCAGTGTAGATTCGCCAAGTCTTGCCAGACCGTCTTTTTCTCTCAGTGAGTCTGAGTCTGAAGGTATCTGTGTATCACAAAGTACATTTGTGAAACGTCAAAGCATTTTGTTATTAGGACAGACGCATAAGCATAAAAGAGAGATTCGATGTCATTTTTGTCTACCTTCACCATTGAAATCTACTATAGCAAATTTATTCCAACAATTCATACTGCTGCCATTAATAATACTTATAAAAGCTGGATTTGGTGTTCCTAAGGTGTTTGATAGGGTGTTGATTAACAGCCCAATACAAAACCTTTTACAAAAGCTTTTCAACTGCAGTTTCGTCCATACACTCTCAGAAAAAAAGGTACAAAAGCTGTCACTGGGGCTGTATCTTTTCAAAAGGTACACTTTTGCACCCAAAGGCTGCATACTGGTACCTTAGTGGTACATATTACCACTTAAAATGTACATATTAGCATCTAAAATGTACATATCAGCACCTAAAATGTACATATTACCACCTAAAATGTACATATTAGCTCATGAAATGGACATATTAACACTTAAAATGTACATATTATTACCTAAAATGTACATATTAACACTTAAAATGTACATATTAGTACCTAAAATGTACATATTAACACTTAAAATGTACATATTACACCTAAAATGTACATATCAGCACCTAAAATGTACATATTACCACCTAAAATGTACATATTAGCTCATGAAATGGACATATTAACACTTAAAATGTACATATTATTACCTAAAATGTACATATTAACACTTAAAATGTACATATTAGTACCTAAAATGTACATATTAACACTTAAAATGTACATATTAACACCTAAAATGTACATATCAGCACCTAAAATGTACATATTACCACCTAAAATGTACATATTAGCTCATGAAATGGACATATTAACACTTAAAATGTACATATTATTACCTAAAATGTACATATTAACACTTAAAATGTACATATTAGTACCTAAAATGTACATATTAACACTTAAAATGTACATATTAACACTTAAAATGTACATATTAACACCTAAAATGTACATATTAGTAACTAAAATGTACATATTACCACCTAGAATGTGCATATTAACACCTAAAATGTACAAATTAACACCTAAAATGTACTTATTAACACCTAAAATGTACATACTAACACTTAAAATGTACATATTAACACCTAAAATGTACTTATTAACACCTAAGATGTACATATTAGTAACTAAAATGTACATATTACCACCTAAAATGTACATATTACCACCTAAAATGTACATATTAGCTCATGAAATGGACATATTAGGACCTAAAATGTACATATTAAGGTGTAAATATGTAAATTTTAGGTGTTAATGTGTACATTTTAGGTGCTAATATATACATTTTAGGTGCTAATATGTAAATTTTAGGTGTTAAGAAGTACATTTTAGGTGCTAAAATGTACATTTTAGGTGCTAATATGTACATTTTAGGTGGTAATATATACATTTTAGGTGTTAATATACATTTTAGGTGCTAATATGTACATTTTAGGTGGTAATATATACATTTTAGGTGTTAATATGTCCATTTTAAGTGTTAAATGTACTTATTAGCACCTAAAATGGACAAAAGTTTACATTTTGTGACCCCAGTGACAGCTTTTGTATCTTTTTTCTGAGTGTAGAGGAAAATCCTCAGTCGAACAGATCACGTATATAAGCAATATAACAGTTCGTATTAACACGCCAAATGATATGAGGTTTTGTTCACGTCAAGAGACGATGAGTTATGAACTGGCATTTAATATTCAAGGTCATTATTTTAGTTATACACTGTAAAAAAAAGTTGTAACTTAAATTGTAAGTGTTTGCGCTGCCTTAAAATTATATAGTTTAGTCAACTCAAATATCCAAGTTCACATATTTCAAGTTGACTAAACTTAAATTTTAAGAAAAATCGTAGAAAAGTCTATAATTAATGAACGTTTTTATAATCTTGTGTTTTCTTCCGCTAAGTTAGACTATATTTCAGGTGTCAGGAATAAATATATAAAAGCAGACACCGTGTTGGAAATGGATCCGCATCATCGTGATCTGCTCTGTAAGAGTTTTCAGGGAATTATTAATGCTCAGCATGAAAAGCATCATTAGAGCCATTTATTAAAATCTCCCGTACTTCACTTTCATCATTATCGTGTGATGAATGTGTCAAGTATAGATTTCATCCTTTCATTATGCTTGCGCTTCACTCATATTACAGTCAATCACTTCATCATGAAGTATATGGGAAGATGAAAATCATCAGATGCCAAATTATTATTATTATTATTTTTTACAGCCATAAGGAAGAACATGTATATGGGGATTGATCATGAAGCCGTTATTTGTTGGTCAGTATTATAGTTTTAGAGGCTCATGGTCTGTTATGTGTAATATAATGCTGCTTTGTTTACTCCATGTATACTCGATGTCATTCATATTGTGTTTACATCCAGTTGTTTCTCTGCATATATTCTGGAATGTAATAATTAATATGGAAATACAGTAATGCTGAAATCATGATCCTCAAAAACTAAGTTTTGTAACACTTTATTTTAAGATGACGTAGTTACATGTTACTACATGTGCGGTTAAAGTTGAATATTTGAAGATGTCTTCGTTACACTGTAATTGTATATTTAAGTACTGAGTAATAGTAAAGAACTAAATGTACTTACTAAAGGGTTTGGTTTATAGTTATTATAGTGATATAGCTGTATACACTGTAAAAGAAAGTAATAATTAGGGTTGGGTATCGAGTATCGATTGGAACCGAGACTAACTTTTCGATTTTCCCGGAATCGTTCAAAAGTTAAAATTTCGATTCCTAGTTTTGATATTCACAGTCCGCCGAGCGGAAGAAGAAACCGCTGAACAACACCAACGAAAAAGCGTCTACCGGAAGTGTTGGCATAACCGCGCGAGTCGAACATGAGTAGCTTACGTCGGCGGTCCAAAGTGTGGCTTCACTTTTCTAAAAATAACGAAATCTCGGCAAAATGCAAAATTTGTGACAAAAGGAGTATTTTTACAGAAGGAGTATTTCCTTCAGAAAGGCCGTTGGTTAGCAAGGTTAGCTAAACTTTTTTGACCCTGCCTCTTAAAAGAATCGGAATCGAGAATCGTTAGGAACCGGAATCGAAACAAGGAATCGGAATCGAGAATCGTTTGGAACTGGAATCGAAACAAGAAATCGGAATCGAGAATCGTTAGGAACCAGAATCGAAACAAGGAATCGGAATCGAGAATCGTTAGGAACTGGAATCGAAACAAGGAATCGGAATCGAGAATCGTTAGGAACTGGAATCGAAACAAGGAATCGGAATCGAGAATCGTTAGGAACCGGAATCGAAACAAGGAATCGGAATCGAGAATCGTTAGGAACCGGAATCGAAACAAGGAATCGGAATCGAGAATCGTTTGGAACTGGAATCGAAACAAGGAATCGGAATCGAGAATCGTTAGGAACCGGAATCGAAACAAGGAATCGGAATCGAGAATCGTTAGGAACCGGAATCGAAACAAGGAATCGGAATCGAGAATCGTTAGGAACCGGAATCGAAACAAGGAATCGGAATCGAGAATCGTTAGGAACCGGAATCGAAACAAGGAATCCGAATCGAGAATCGTTAGGAACCGGAATCGAAACAAGGAATCGGAATCGAGAATCGTTAGGAACTAGAATCGAAACAAGGAATCGGAATCGAGAATCGTTAGGAACCGAATCGAAACAAGGAATCGGAATCGAGAATCGTTAGGAACCGGAATCGAAACAAGGATTCGGAATCGAGAATCGTTAGGAACTGGAATCGAAACAAGGATTCAGAATCGAGAATCGTTAGGAACCGGAATCGAAACAAGGAATCGGAATCGAGAACCGTTAGGAACCGGAATCGAAACAAGGAATCGGAATCGGAATCGTTCAAATTCAAACGATACCCAACCCTAGTAATAATACAATAATACATAATTACAAGTCACCAAACCCTAATTGTAACTCTATAGTAAGTGCGTGTAGTTGATTAATTACTCTAATGTAACTTTGTCACCTCAAAATAAAGTGTACGCTAAAGTTTACATTCAGACGTTGTTGTTTTTTCTTTTCTAAAATGCTTAAAATCCAAGCAATTAGCGAATAATTAAATTCAGATCGATAGTCGATGCATTCAACCATAAAATATATACATATGCGTTCTGTTTTTCTCTACGTTTGAACCTGAATTTGAGGATTTTTGAACTATTAAATTCAGTGTTATTTCTGAAATGGCCTCTCTGTTTGCATAATGCGTGTGTGTGGATCAGAGAAGATGATCTGCTTTACTCGTGTCTTCACGTCCTCGTCAAAATAGTGAATCTGACACATTGCAACGAGCAATATTCGACCCAAACTGAGCATTCTGGGACCATTTACTGTCCAAACGGGAGTAAACGAGGACCGCTGACGTTTGTGGAGAACAGTATTTTACAGTATTTTGAAAATGAACATTATGTTGTTGTTTATATGTTACATAAATGCAAAATAACTTTTCTAAGCACCAGTGTTGTATTATTTAGTGCTGAATAAGGAATAAATGAAAGTGTATAATGAACAGAGACGCATTTATTGTCCATATTTACAATTTACAATAAAATAAATGTACATTTATAAAGTGTCTTACAAAAAGCGGTTAGAAAAGTTTAGCACACTTTAGTTCACTTCTTCGCAGGCTTCTTGGCTTCACTGCCTTTGGCTCCTCCTCCTTTCCCTCCTTTCTCTGCTTTCTCTTCTCCTCCCTTCTTCCCTTTCGCTCCTGCGTCCGATGCCTCTTTCTTCGATGTGCCTTTCTCTCCCTTCTTCTTCGGGGCTTCCTCCTCCTCCTTCTTCTCCTCTTTGCCCTCTTTCGCACCCTTGCCTTCCTTCTTGCCGTCTTTCTCCTTCTTCTCCTTCTTCCCCTTGTCGGCGTCCAGCTTCCCGGCGACGGTTGGCACCTCCTCCTTCTCCGCCGGCTTCACCGCTGCGCCACAGAACACACACACACACACACATCAGCATTAGCTCAACAGGACTGATAATACACACTCTAGAGTCACACTGGTCAGTTTTACACATAATTCAGAAGAAACGGATTGAATTAAGCACAAGATTTTGAAATAGTTGTAAAATTATTGCAATAATCTTTTTGTGGTCTCCAAAAAATGATAGTAAAAACCGGTTACACTTTATTTATTTATTTATTTATTTATTTATTTAAATTAATTAATAAAATAAAGTGTTACCGGTTTTTACTATAATTTTTTAGGTGTCTTTATTTTAAGGTGTCATTGTTTCAGTGTAATTATAGTTTTGAGTACTGAGTAATATTAATGAACTACATGCACTTACTATAGGTTTAAGGGTTTGATTGAGGGTTAGTTCCATGTAATTATGCATAATTTAGTTATCACTATGGTAACTACATGCAACATTGTGAAAAGGACACAAAATAAAGGGTAACACAGGTGTAATTATTAGGGCTGTCAAACGATTAATCGCGATTAATCACATCCAAAATAAAAGTTTGTGTTTACATAATATATGTGAGTGCACTGTGTATAATTATATATATATATATATATATAAATACACACACATGCTTGTATTTATTTAAGAAATATTTAATGTACATACTGTATAGATTTATATATAATTTATATGATATGTAAATATTAATATTTTATATATAAATAATATTTTTCTTAAATATGCATGCATGTGTGTGTATTTCTATATATATATATATATATATATAATTATACACAGTGCACCCACATACATTATGTAAACACAAACTTTTATTTTGGATGCGATTAATCGCGATTAATTGTTTGACGGCCCTAGTGATTACACAAATAAGTAGTGAGTAATATTAACTAACTGTGTGTAATTATTAGGATTGGTTTGGGGTTAGTTGCTTGTAATTATGATTGATTTACAGTTACATTAATTGCATGTAACATGTGTAACAAGTAAACTGTAAAACAAGGTGTTACTAATGTTTCTATGACTTACTACTAATGACTCACAGTGTGTTGCAAAGTAATGTACCCTTTTTAATCGAGCATCTAAATTAGCTAAAAAAAACTAATCAAACAAAAATAATAATTCAATATGAGTGAGTCACACTGCACTGGAAAAAAGTGCTTAATTTTAATGAACAATTTTAAATGGTTCAGTAAGTTACTTAATTGCGGTTTACATTGCAATACTAATTTTTTAAGTACATTTTACTTGAACAATATAACACTGAGTAAAGCCATGTTTCATTACATAGAACCTCTGAGTAAATAATATATACAGTACTCTGAATCACTCGGACATTTAACGGCGTAGACATACACGCAGACACGCTTATAGATAACACGCCACTTGACTTGAAAGTGCCGTGTGTGTTTACGCAAAAGTCATGATGTCATGTTGGGATCCGGGCTGACACTACATTAAATATTGTTAGTTTAACTTAAAGAAATGAAGTTGCCTTAAAACTTAAAGTTCATTGAAATGGAAAAATTGAGTTAATAGAATGAAGGAGATCATCAGACAAAAGGAGTATTTTTACAGAAGGAGTATTTCCTTCAGAAAAGCCGTTGGTTAGCAAGGTTAGCTAAACTTTTTTGACCCTGCCTCTTAAAAGAATCGGAATCGAGAATCATTAGGAACCGGAATCGAAACAAGGAATCGGAATCGAGAATCGTTAGGAACCGGAATCGAAACAAGGAATCGGAATCGAGAATCGTTAGGAACTGGAATCGAAACAAGGAATCGGAATCGAGAATCGTTAGGAACCGGAATCGAAACAAGGAATCGGAATCGAGAATCGTTAGGAACTGGAATCGAAACAAGGAATCGGAATCGAGAATCGTTAGGAACCGGAATCGAAACAAGGATTCGGAATCGAGAATCGTTAGGAACCGGAATCGAAACAAGGAATCAGAATCGAGAATCGTTAGGAACTGGAATCGAAACAAGGATTCGGAATCGAGAATCGTTAGGAACTGGAATCGAAACAAGGAATCGGAATCGAGAATCGTTAGGAACCGGAATCGAAACAAGGAATCGGAATCGAGAATCGTTAGGAACCGAAATCGAAACAAGGATTCAGAATCGAGAATCGTTAGGAACCGGAATCGAAACAAGGAATCGGAATCGAGAATCGTTAGGAACTGGAATCGAAACAAGGAATCGGAATCGAGAATCGTTAGGAACCGGAATCGAAACAAGGAATCGGAATCGAGAATCGTTAGGAACTGGAATCGAAACAAGGAATCGGAATCGAGAATCGTTAGGAACCGGAATCGAAACAAGGATTCGGAATCGAGAATCGTTAGGAACCGGAATCGAAACAAGGAATCAGAATCGAGAATCGTTAGGAACTGGAATCGAAACAAGGATTCGGAATCGAGAATCGTTAGGAACCGGAATCGAAACAAGGAATCGGAATCGAGAATCGTTAAGAACCGGAATCGAGAATCGTTAGGAACCGGATTCGAAACAAGGAATCAGAATCGAGAATCGTTAGGAACTGGAATCGAAACAAGGATTCGGAATCGAGAATCGTTAGGAACCGGAATCGAAACAAGGAATCGGAATCAGAATCGTTAGGAACCGGAATCGAAACAAGGATTCGGAATCGAGAATCGTTAGGAACCGGAATCGAAACAAGGAATCGGAATCGGAATCGGAAGGAATCGGAATACAGACACGCTTATAGATAACACGCCAATTGACTTGAAAGTGCCGTGTGTGTTTACGCAAAAGTCATGATGTCATGTTGGGATCCGGGCTGACACTACATTAAATATTGTTAGTTTAACTTAAAGAAATGAAGTTGCCTTAAAACTTAAAGTTCATTGAAATGGAAAAATTGAGTTAATAGAATGAAGGAGATCATCAGACAAAAGGAGTATTTTTACAGAAGGAGTATTTCCTTCAGAAAGGCCGTTGGTTAGCAAGGTTAGCTAAACTTTTTTGACCCTGCCTCTTAAAAGAATCGGAATCGAGAATCATTAGGAACCGGAATCGAAACAAGGAATCGGAATCGAGAATCGTTAGGAACCGGAATCGAAACAAGGAATCGGAATCGAGAATCGTTAGGAACCGGAATCGAAACAAGGATTCGGAATCGAGAATCGTTAGGAACCGGAATCGAAACAAGGAATCAGAATCGAGAATCGTTAGGAACTGGAATCGAAACAAGGATTCGGAATCGAGAATCGTTAGGAACTGGAATCGAAACAAGGAATCGGAATCGAGAATCGTTAGGAACCGGAATCGAAACAAGGAATCGGAATCGAGAATCGTTAGGAACCGAAATCGAAACAAGGATTCAGAATCGAGAATCGTTAGGAACCGGAATCGAAACAAGGAATCGGAATCGAGAATCGTTAGGAACTGGAATCGAAACAAGGAATCGGAATCGAGAATCGTTAGGAACCGGAATCGAAACAAGGAATCGGAATCGAGAATCGTTAGGAACTGGAATCGAAACAAGGAATCGGAATCGAGAATCGTTAGGAACCGGAATCGAAACAAGGATTCGGAATCGAGAATCGTTAGGAACCGGAATCGAAACAAGGAATCAGAATCGAGAATCGTTAGGAACTGGAATCGAAACAAGGATTCGGAATCGAGAATCGTTAGGAACCGGAATCGAAACAAGGAATCGGAATCGAGAATCGTTAAGAACCGGAATCGAGAATCGTTAGGAACCGGATTCGAAACAAGGAATCAGAATCGAGAATCGTTAGGAACTGGAATCGAAACAAGGATTCGGAATCGAGAATCGTTAGGAACCGGAATCGAAACAAGGAATCGGAATCAGAATCGTTAGGAACCGGAATCGAAACAAGGATTCGGAATCGAGAATCGTTAGGAACCGGAATCGAAACAAGGAATCGGAATCGGAATCGGAAGGAATCGGAATACAGACACGCTTATAGATAACACGCCAATTGACTTGAAAGTGCCGTGTGTGTTTACGCAAAAGTCATGATGTCATGTTGGGATCCGGGCTGACACTACATTAAATATTGTTAGTTTAACTTAAAGAAATGAAGTTGCCTTAAAACTTAAAGTTCATTGAAATGGAAAAATTGAGTTAATAGAATGAAGGAGATCATCAGACAAAAGGAGTATTTTTACAGAAGGAGTATTTCCTTCAGAAAGGCCGTTGGTTAGCAAGGTTAGCTAAACTTTTTTGACCCTGCCTCTTAAAAGAATCGGAATCGAGAATCGTTAGGAACCGGAATCGAAACAAGGAATCGGAATCGAGAATCGTTAGGAACCGGAATCGAAACAAGGAATCGGAATCGAGAATCGTTAGGAACTGGAATCGAAACAAGGAATCGGAATCGAGAATCGTTAGGAACCGGAATCGAAACAAGGAATCGGAATCGAGAATCGTTAGGAACTGGAATCGAAACAAGGAATCGGAATCGAGAATCGTTAGGAACCGGAATCGAAACAAGGATTCGGAATCGAGAATCGTTAGGAACCGGAATCGAAACAAGGAATCAGAATCGAGAATCGTTAGGAACTGGAATCGAAACAAGGATTCGGAATCGAGAATCGTTAGGAACTGGAATCGAAACAAGGAATCGGAATCGAGAATCGTTAGGAACCGGAATCGAAACAAGGAATCGGAATCGAGAATCGTTAGGAACCGAAATCGAAACAAGGATTCAGAATCGAGAATCGTTAGGAACCGGAATCGAAACAAGGAATCGGAATCGAGAATCGCTAGGAACTGGAATCGAAACAAGGAATCAGAATCGAGAATCGTTAGGAACCGGAATCGAAACAAGGAATCGGAATCGAGAATCGTTAGGAACTGGAATCGAAACAAGGAATCGGAATCGAGAATCGTTAGGAACCGGAATCGAAACAAGGATTCGGAATCGAGAATCGTTAGGAACCGGAATCGAAACAAGGAATCAGAATCGAGAATCGTTAGGAACTGGAATCGAAACAAGGATTCGG